TGGATGACAAAGCGGATGCGGTAAGTGAAGAAGATGAAGTGGGTGACGAAGCGGATGTGTTAGGTGAAGAAGATGAATTCGGTGACGAAGCGGATGTGTTAGGTGAAGAAGATGAATTGGGTGACGAAGCGGATGTGTTAGGTGAAGAAGATGAATTCGGTGACGAACCGGAGGAAGCTGACGATGTGGACGAAGCGCTGGAAGCGGAGGGAGAGGAAGAACTGGTGGACGATCTCCTCAGCGCCACCAACAACCGAGAGGCAAGGGAAACGCAGGAGACGGCGTCGGAGGGTGGATACCTAGACCAGGGGTACTCATACGGCGATCACGCAGAGGGGGAACACTCACACGGGGGACACACAAAGGGGGGACACACAAAGGGGGGACACTCAGATGGGGCATATTCCGATGGTGGCTACTCCGATGGTGACCGCTCAGATGGTGGCTACTCAGATGATGGCTACTCCGATGGGGGCGATTTAGACGAGGTCTACTCAGACGAATCCCTCATCGGAGAGGACTTCCTCGGAATGTCTGTCAGCGATAGGGGGGAGGACCCGGAGGGAAGGGTGCAGAAGTTAATAAAGACGGTGGAGGAGAGCCTTGCGGAGAGTTTAGAAGACAGCTTGGAAGAGCGATTGGAGGAGAGCTTGTCGGCGAACCAGACAAGAGGAGAGCAGAATGGAGGAGATAAAGTGAGCGATTCAAACAAATTGGCGAAAAGAACGAGACTCCCGAACGGAGCAGATCAGATGGAGGAGACGAGTGCATACCGATACCTAAGGGAAGAGAGGGACGACGTAGACGAGGAGGAAGCAGACTGGGAGGAAGTACGCGAGGATGACTTCCCATCGGAGGAAGTACGAGAGGAGACTAACCAATTGAACGACCTACGCGAGGATGCCGTTTTATTGAAGGACCTACGCGAGGATGCCGTTTTATTGGAGGACCTACGTGAGGAGACCATCCCATCGGAGGAACATATAGAGGAGCTAATTAACAGCATAAACCGACGCGTGTCCACGAATGCGTCGAAGCTGGTAACCCCCATAAGTGGAAGGATAAAAGATGATGTGAAGGAGCGACGTTTCTGTGAGAAGGAACCTCCCATGATGGAAGGAAGCGACAGGAAAGTGATTAATGAGATGGGAAAAACCCAGGGGGTGAGGGTTTCAAGCGTAGAAGGGGAAAATGGATCGACGTATGAAGGGATGGTCAGGCAGGAGGGGCTCAGTGATTCGTCTTGGGAGGAAGGAGAAGCCGACGAATCGGATGTGGATGGTGTGGAAGGCGATGGAATCGAATCCGAGGTAGTGGTAGCCGATGGAGTGGTAGCCGATGGAGTGGTAGCCGATGGAGTGGTAGCCGATGGAGGGGTAGCCGATGGAGTGGAATCCGATGGAGTGGTAGCCGATGGAGTGGGATCCGATGGAGTGAAATCCGAGGAGGACAGCGAATCAGAACAACCCGCCGCTTCTCCAAATGGCCTGATCCACGTTTTCCGAGAGCGCAGCGGCAGGGGAAGCGCAGTGAATGTCGAGGAGGACGAAACGAGTTGCTCCTTCTCCTCCGTCGCGAATGCCAACCAGGCGAAGAACGTATTAAAGGAAATCCTAATCAGCAGCAAGGCGGTGGAAAGGTACAGCTCTAATGATTCTTCCTCCATGGGCAGCGACGTTTTTGAGGTCGACTCGGATGAGGAGAGCACGGCGGGAGAGGACACTACACGGGAGGAGCCAACATGGGAGGAGCTAACGCGGGGGGATATTACACGGGAGGAGCCAACAGGGGAGGACACTACACGGGAGGATACTACACGGGAGCAGCCAATAAGGGAGGACACTACACGGGAGGATACTACACGGGAGGATACTACACGGGAGGATACTACACGGGAGCAGCCAATAAGGGAGGAAACTAGACGGGAGGAGCCAACAAGGGAGGACACTAGACGGGAGGAAACTAGCCGGGAGGAGCCAACAAGGGAGGACACTAGACGGGAGGAAACTACACGGGAGGACACTAGACGGGAGAACACTAGCCGGGAGGAGCCAACAAGGGAGGACACTAGACGGGAGGAAACTACACGGGAGGACACTAGACGGGAGGAAACTAGCCGGGAGGAGCCAACAAGGGAGGACACTAGACGGGAGGAAACTACACGGGAGGACACTACACGGGAGAACACTAGACGGGAGGAGCCAACAAGGGAGGACACTAGACGGGAGGAAACTACACGGGAGGACACTACACGGGAGAACACTAGACGGGAGGAGCCAACAAGGGAGGACACTAGACGGGAGGAAACTACACGGGAGGACACTACACGGGAGGAAACTAGCCGGGAGGAGCCAACAAGGGAGGACACTAGACGGGAGGAAACTACACGGGAGGACACTACACGGGAGAACACTAGACGGGAGGACACTACACGGGAGAACACTAGACGGGAGGACACTAGACGGGAGGACACTAGACGGGAGGATATCATACAGGGACAGAGTAAACCGGGGGAAAGGAAACCGTGGGAGAGTAACCCAGGGGAGAGTAAATCAGGGGAGACTAGACAAGGGCAGGCTAAACCGGGGCAGACTAAACAGGTGAATAATCGGAGCGGAAAAGGAGTGGGTGCAGATCCAATGAGGGTTGCACCAAAGGAGGGTGCACATGCCGATGAAGCGTTAACTGCACGTATGAGGAGGGAACACAAACGTGGAGAAGGCAACGGAGGAGTCCCCCCCAAGGAAGGCAACGGAGGAGTCTCCCCCAAGGAAGGCAACGGAGGAGTCCCTCCAAAAGAAGGCAACGGAGGAGTTACCCTCAAGGAAGGCAACGGAGGAGTCCCTCCAAAAGAAGGCAACGGAGGAGTTACCCTCAAGGAAGGCAACGGAGGAGTTACCCTCAAGGAAGGCAACGGAGTCCCCCCCAATGCGCGATTCTGTAGAGACCCCGTGGTAAGAAGGGGCATTCGAGTAGACAAAATGAGGAGACCAGATAAACCAAATGATGAGAAAATAAAATGGTTAATTAAAAAGATGACTCTCAATGATGAAGTCTATGTGGAGAATTCAAAGACAGCAAATGATGGGGAAGACGGAAAAAAAGACTGTCTTGATGGAAGGAGAAAGCCAAGATGTGGAGGCAACTCTGTCTTGCTGATGAAGGGAATACCTAGCGGGAGAATCAACGTGGAAGATGCACCAATAGAGAACAACACACTGAAGAGAGAGAACCAAAGGATGTATAATAGTGCAGCGAGTGGAGCGGTGGAAGAGGAAAGAAGCATTTCCAGGGAGGGAGAAAGGAATGAGGCAAAACTGGGTAGCAGCCAGATGCAGGCGGAGGAGAGGAAGAGGGAGGAGGAGAGGAAGAGGGAGCAGGAGAAAAAGAAGGAGCAGGAGAAGAAGAAGGAGCAGGAGCAGGAGAAAAAGAAGGAGCAGCAGCAGAAGAAGGAGCAGGAGGAGAAGAAGAAAGCGCTGATGGGGTTGCTAAAATTAGACCTACGTAAAGGCCAAAAGGGGAAGAGACTTGACAGAGTAGACAAGGATAACGACCCATGTGTGTATAAATCGAAGGATAAAAAATGCGGTGACTACTGTGGATCAGTGAAATCCGAGTCAACAGACGTAACCGAGAGGGATTCACATAAGCATGTCCTCAAGAGGGAGGAGAAGCTCCACATCAATTTCCCATACGGCAAAGACTTGGGAGAGCTTCACACCTTCGGGGAGCTGCATAGGCCGAGGGGGATCAGCGTCTACACGTACCCGATTCGCATAGAGGGAGTCGCGGCCGTAGGAGGGGGGGGCGCAGAAAGAAGCGGAGGGGGAAGAAGCCATGACAAAGAAGGCAACGAGGGAAGCAATAAAGAGGGAAGCAACCACGAGGAAAGAAACGGCGACGAAAGCAACGACGAAGAAAGTAATCACGACGAAAGTAATCACGACGAAAGCAACCACGATGAAAGCAATCACGAGGAAAGTAACCACGACGAAAGCAATCACGAGGAAAGTAACCATGACGAAAGTAACCATGACGAAAGCAACCACGACGAAAGCAACCACGACGAAAGTAACCATGACGAAGAAAGAAACTGCGAACAACGCAGCCGTGATGAATTAAACAACCGTGGAGAAGAACCCCTCCAGGGCCCCTCCCCCTCCAGCAGCGCCGAAATTTTGCGGAGACTGAGCAATCTGCAAGCGTCAGGCGAGAAGGACGCAACCCTCAGAAACAGCCTGGCCCTGTACCTCAAGGAAGTCTGCCTCACGCTGGGCAAAGAAAAACAACAGAGCGACATTCTTTTAGGCCAAAATGAGAAGCTTCAGACCGAAATAAAGCAGTTAAAAGAGAGTAAGAAAAAATTAAAGACGAAAATGAAGAAACTAGAAGACTGTTACAAGAAAAAGTGCAAAGTTGTCGAGAAATACCAGCACATGAGGGAGAGGTTCAAATTGATCGAGCAGGATGAGGTGGGCATACCCGATGATGACATGGATCACCAGAACAAATACATCGAGAACGCTATGGAGCAGCTCTACGTAAGGCTTCGCGTGTGAAAGCGAGGCGTCCGTCCATGCGTCGGAAGATGCGCCCTATGTATACTGCATACATCATGCATGTGTTGTATGGGCCCGATGGAGAAGACGAAAAAGGGTTTCGTTCTTTTTTTTTTTTTTTTTCCCCATTCCGCAGAACGTATTCTCCGACGTGTTTGGGGAAAACCACGTAATGACGAAGAGGTAATGCGGAGGAGACGCAGAAGAGGGGGGTCACTTCTACAAATAGGAAGATTTCGGCGATGTCGTGTTCGGCCAACTGGAACGACTTATGAATGGCATTATTATTTTCATCCTCCCCCCCCCGCAGAATAGAAAGCCTAGCCAATGTGTACATAAAAAAGGAGAAGAGCGTGGAAATACAAATGGTCACCCAGAGGAAGGTAAGGCAGATTGGGGAGCGAAAAAAAGAAAAAAATAATAAATAAATGAACGGACAGATATATATATATATAAATAGATGATCACCCCCAAAAGGACACACTCGGCGATTTCCCCCCGTTTCCCCGCTGCAGCAATTGGAGCTTCTAAAAAACGTGGAGGAAATCGTAAAAAAGAAAAACGAGTACTACTACGAGCTGCAAAAGAAGAACGAAATCATTACCAGGTGAGCGCGAGTGATCACACTGCTGTCTGTAGCTGCACAGAATGTTATGCGTTTTTCTCTTTGCGAGGAATGCTCTGACGATGCGTTACCGTGCGTCCTAACCGTCACTTTGTGTGTAACTTCCACTACGCAGCTTAAATAGCAATTTGGCCAAAATAACACAAAGCGTCGCGGACATGAAGAATGGCGTTCTCGAAAGCGAAAGGAAGATGAAAGACTTGACGACGGAGCTGGCAAAGAAGGATGCCCTCCTAAAAGAATTCGAAAGAAGAAACAGCCAAATGATGGTAAGACGCGTTCATTCTGTTCTGCGCCTGTGGGAAGTTTGCATCAGCTAGCCAAAAGGAAAAAAAAAAAGAAAAAAGCCTAAAAAGTAGAAAAAGAAGAAAAAAATACCTGAACTGGTCAGAATGTTCACTCCATTTGGCTGTTTTTTTTTTTTTTTTTTTCTGAACAATTCAGGACGAAAAGGAGAAGCTGTTTCAGAAGGAACGAGCGCGGCTGCTGGACTTACTCAATGGTAAAGGTAACAAAGGGGACAGAATGGTTCCCTTTCCTTTTGTGTGTACAAAGTGGAGAATGCAGGAATGATTTAGTCAGTTATGCGGAAGCGGCTGTGTCGAGCCGGATGTGTCGAAACGGCTGCGTCCAGTTGGATGTGTCCAGTCGGCTGTGCTACATCGCGCTTTGCCCCTTTCCGCTGGCTGACTCCCCATTTTGCGCACCACTCATTCCGCTCTTCCCCCTCTTTGCTCAGACGAAAACGTCAAAAGCGTGAAGCAGTACAAAGAAGAAATAAAATGCCTGGAAGACAAACTGAAAGACTATTTGGATCGCAATGTACACAGAATACACGACAAGAACTACGAACTTATGGTAGACAAGCTGCACGACGAACAAATAAAAATGCATTCCCTGCTGACCGAGAAGGAAAAAATCATTAACGAGAAAAACATCCAAATTGAGAATTTGGAATCCCAGTTGCAGTCCTGGGCGGACGAGGCCACCAACTGGGTGGTCGTTGCGGACAAGCACACCAAACTGATAACAAACCATAACATATTAAAGGTGACGAGAAAAAGGGAGAAAGGGAATGGGCGGGTCTAACGCGCCATGCGCCAATTCGACCAACTGTCTATCTGCCCCTCTGGCCATCCGTCCATCTGCCCATCCACTATTATTGCCTTTTTTTCCTCCATTTCATTTTTTGCCCCTCCTCCCCCGTCTGCAGAAAAACTACGAAGAGCTCAAATACAAATACATCATGGACATGAAATACGTCCAAACGAACAAAAACGAGAAAGTGAAGGAGCTGATACGGAAATATGCATAGGGGCACTTTGGCTGTGTCACGTGCTCTGGGGGTTCCTACCTTCACACGGATGGGATAATTAGACTTCTTCTCCAATTTTGTCGCGGTTGACGTTTTTTTGAAATCCCCCCATGATGTTAAAATAAAAAAAAAATGGTATCTTTTTTTTTTTTTTTTTCGTCATTTTTTTGTCACTTTTTTGTCACTTTTTGGTCCTTTTTTGTCATTTTTTGTCATTTTTTTGTCATTTTTTTAAATTTCACCTCGGCGTGCCAACGCCATGCCCCCTCTTCTGTGAATACAGAAGCTCGGCGCGCACATGTAATGAGTTATTTAATGAGTTATTTGCTCATGGGTAGCTATGCAAAGACATACGTCTACATAGATGTGTACTCTGCATGCGTAACTCGTTCGGGCGGGATAGAAGCTTAATGGGTGGTAATCACTACGGATCAGTTCGAATCAGCACTGCTCCGTTTAAGCGGCAACTTGACCTATGAAGGAGGAAGCAACGGAAGAGGAGGCAAGAGGGGCACACATCGCGGGGTAGCCTCCTTGTCCTTGCGACGATTCTCTAGTCAATATTACGGGTTGGCACCATATTGTCTGTTTTATCTAACCGTTGTTCTGCTTTTTTATGTTTTCCCCCCCTCAACGGTGTACCCATGTTTATGTTGCTTGTGTGCGACTCGCCGTGCCCGAACGGGTGAAGATAATGAAAGGGTGCGTGGCGAGAACCGTTGGTGTGGCAGCGCAGCGTGTTGAGGCCAGGCGAGGCGAAGCGAGGCAATCTCCCTTGTTGAGGTTCCACTCGAGGATCTTTGGCGCTGCCGCCGTATATTACCCCCCCCTTTAAAGCGCACAAACGGGTAGGCGGGTGAACAGAACTTGTTGCACGCATTTTCAGATTAGCAGATTGGGTAGGTGTTCTGCTTGGCATTTTGCTTCGCATCTTTCTTCGTATTTTTTTTTTTTTTTTTTCAGGGCGTAAGTGCTCCTATGTAATCCCCATAAAATGAGGTTACAGAAGTTACCATCCTTGCTAGAGTTTTTACTTTTCTTTGGTGGAGTAAGCGGCGGGGGCAGCTTCCTAGCCGTGGCATTTTTTCTGACTCTACAAATGGGTGTGAGGGGATATATAGTCTACAGCCCACGGTGCACGTTATGGAGTAACACAGCGCCGCTTTTCGGCCTTTCGAGTGACGTAAAATTTGGGGCGATGAAGTGGGTTTTCTTTTTTTTCCTTTTTCTCAAAATATATGTATTTGGTTCTGTTTTTATTTGTACCACTCTGTTATTTTTTCCTTCTACTCATTTTTTTTTCATTTTGACTTTGTTTTTCTTTGCTTTGCATTTCTTTCATTTCCTTTTCTTTCCCTTTTTTTTCTCTATGCCTTCCTTCGTATGCCGCTAATATACGTCCCCTTTTTTTCTGTTGCCTGCCATACCCACTTGTTCGTCGCCACTTCTTCTCCCACTGTGCAGTTTGGCTCGCGCGGTGTCAGCTGGAGGCACGTATCATATATTTTGTTGCTTTGAGCTAACGGTGAGTTTGCAGATCCCCCCCAGGCGGCGCTCCGTGGAGAAAGAGGCCGCATCCGTCGCATCCGCCGAAGTGGCTACCCGCGTGCGTCGTAGGGAAAGGAAAAAAGAGGAAAGGCGAAGGGGGGAAGCGGCTGTTATACCTTTCGGTTCGCCGCTGATACGTTTTCCTTCACGGCTGCGCCGACAAGGGGGACAACGCTGCAACGTCGCTACCCCGCTGTTACCCCGCCGCTACACTGCTACCCAGCATGGCCGAGTACGGGGAGGGGGAGAAGCCCGTGAGCTTCGAAGAAGAAGTGGAGACGTTCCTCATCAATCTTCACGATTTCGTGTACCACCGAAACGCGGAGGCGATTAAGAAACTTTTCGACACGGACTTCTACGCCATTTCGGACATCTATTTTAAGAATATAAGATGGCCCTCCATAAAGCTAGTAGACATTTTCTATAAACAAAAGAATCGTTTCCACAATCTGATTCACTCGCTATATGAGGAGCTATATTACAGACATGTGTTCATAATAAATGACGTGACGTTGGAAGATAGGAAAAATGCGTGGGATAACTACAAATGTTTGTTGAATTTTATTGTTACGATATGTTCGGATCCATCTGGTGAAACAAATGACAACGTGCTGGTGATGCCAAATGTGTGGATCCATGACTTCCTCTCTGAGTACATTTATCAATATCAGTCCATGTGTCACTACAAGCTAAGAATACTGAAAGATCCAGAGGAAAACAAGGAAGGCATCGATTTCTTAATAAAACATTCGGATGTCTTTGAGAGCAGCATCGTGTTGGAAGTCCTACATAGTCTCCTATTGAAGGCTGAATTTATTACCCTCTCTGAGGAAGAGAGAAACATCTTCGTGCATAACGTTTTTCACGTAAACAATGAGGAACTAAGTAATAGATACCAGTTCGCTTACTTCTCCTGCTGTGTCCTACTGAAGGTTTATGTGCTGATGGGAGATTACTACACTGCATTGAAGATAATATCGTATATTGAGTTAAGTCACAAGGCACTGTACTGGAAGGTGACTCTCTGTCACATGAACATATTTTATCACATCGCATTCTGCTACATGATGCTGAGAAGGTATAATGACAGCATTAAGATCTTGTCTCAGATTTTAGTTTATCTCTCAAAGCAGAAGATTCATTTGTCTAATCAGCAGAGGTACCAGCAGAGTCAAATACATAAGCTTATTGATAAAATGTATTTCATCGTCATCATCTGTCACTCGTTGAGTAACACCAGACTAGACGAAACGGTGTTACAAAATATAAAAGAAAACTACTCAGGCAAGTTTTATGCTCTCCTGCAGACAACCAATGAGCAGGCTTATGCTGACCTCTTCTACAAGGTCGCCCCGAAATTTATCGACCCCCTTTCGAATATCAGTTTCCAGCTCTTAGCCAACTTCGAGAATGTACAGAATCAGACGTACAACTCGGATCCTATGACGACCCAGCTGAATATTTTTTTGAAAGACGTTTCGTATCAGAAGAAGGCTTTCCATTTTATCTCCTACTCGAAGCTGTATCATAACATTCAGCTGAAAAAGTTGAGTAGCCTCATGAATTATGGGGACCACCAGAGTCGTCTTGCAGAGGAGAAGCAGAGTCGTCATGCAGTGGAGCAGCCGAACGGGGAGACCAACGGATTGGCGACCCACTCGGCGGATGGACAAACGGGGGGATCGCTCCTCCCACCCAATGAGGAGCTCGTCTCCGCAGACATCATGTGCGTTAAAAACTCCGGCAGGCAACTCGTGTGGAAAGAGGGGCCACTCTACAAGGGCGAAGTGGTCACCTCCGTCTTTGGCTCCACCTTCGATTTCTACATCGACATGGACATACTTAACATTAAGACGCGGGCGCAGCAGAAGATCTTTATTGACTACTTTGTGCACCAAATAAACATGTGCAAGAATCTCAGCAACAACCTGCAGGGCACTGCCGCCCCCCACGCCACCAAGGCCAAGTACGACAACTTCAGGCGCAAGAACAAGGGCAAGGGCCGCCCCAAGGTGTGAGGCGCCAAAGCGGTGGAGCCGCGTAGCTGTGTAGCAGTCAAGCTGTGTAGCATGCGCGTATCATTCTTATCGCCGCCCATTTGCACCTCCTCCACCCCATCCTCTCTTTTTCCCCAACATGCACTTCCTCGTGCTATCCATTTTTAAGCCAAAGCTGAAAAGAATTTTTCCTTTTTTGAGGAACCGATCAAAACTGAAAAATGCAACGTAAAATGCGACGTAAATGGGACCCAAATGGGACGTAAAATGCGACGCGAAGGTGGTCGCTTCCCTTTTCAGTGCCGTTCGCCTGAACAGGTCAAGTCAGGGCATTTCCCGGCTTCGTGCAACTGGGGCTTCTCTCCCCAAAGGGAAAAAAAAAAAAAAAAAAAAAAAAAAAAAAGGAAAAAAAAAATGAATAGAAAAACAAACGAATTGATAATAGATGAAGCGCCTCCCCCCCATCTCCGTTTTGCCGTGCCAAAGGCGAATAGGTCCATTTTCCAAAGGTGGCAACTGTGCCCGTATGCGATCTGTATGCCCATACATGTGGTGAATAGCGGAACGTACTAGTTGTGCGCCAAATTGGGGGAGCGCCAGCAACACGGCACAGTTTTGCCACCAACTCGGAACAGTTTCTCTACCAACTCGGAACAGTTTCGCTACCAACACGGCACACTTCGCCCGGTCCCTCCTTTCCGCTTCTTCCATCCCCCGCAACGAACATGAACGAAGTGGGCTACGCGGCCCTTCCGCCACCCGAGCCCGACTTCTGGATTTACTCCGCCAGCTACCTGCGAAACGCGTGGGTCCAGGTGGGCCACGTGCGCAGGAGATCAGCCAAAGGACACACACATGTGATGAACAAAAGCAGGTGTGCCTCCAAAACAGTCGTTTCCTTTCCCCTTCACGACTTCTTTACAGTGGGCCATCGTCTTCGTCCCGTTCCTTATGTTCGCCCTTTACCTCAAGCTGACCATGCGTAGGCCGAAAAGAGGGAAAAAGCCGCCATGTTGGGCGATGCGCGGCTAGAAGTGCGGCGCTAGAAGTGCACTGCTACAAAGATGCCTCTCCTAGTGCACCGCTACAAATCCATCGTGCCACCTCGCGATGCCCCCCGCAGCGACACTGCCAACCGGTGAAAAGGAACACCCCAGGGAAGAAGCCAATTTTAGCTCCGCCAGAGGAGACATAAAAAGGGACAATCTATAGAGGATGCCTATTGGTGTAACTTCTTCAGGATCTCTGCCCCCCGCACCCAAATGGAGGAGAGTCAGCACACAGTCGGTAATTCATCCCACTACACAGGTGGATATGCTTATCAAAGGAGAGTCTTTTTAATTAAAGCTGGGGTGTACAAATCGACATGAGTTCCTTCAGTGCAGTTAGCACACCCAAGTTACACACACAGTGTTGTGTACTGCGCGCGTGGACACTCGAGAACGATCACGAAAATGCCCCCTGTCCTCTGGAGAAGTCACTTCGGCGTATTCACCCATGGTGAGAGAAAAAAGGGACGAACATGGGGCAAAGACGCGTTTTTTTTTTTTTTTTTTTTTTGACGAAGTAACCTCTTGTCAGTGATAACTGCATGCAAAACCGTCGAAATGGAGAAATATTAAGTGATTACTTTACAGATAGGCACATGTGCATCACTACGTAGCAGTCCTGATGCAACCGCTTTCTTCGCAAGCGACTCATGCCAAATTGTACATATTCCTCTTCTGGCGAAACTTCGAGATCTTGGGGGGAGGGAAGCGAATCAGTGCAGCGGTTAAAATAGCGAATGAGTATATCGCTTTGTGACAATTGGAGAAACAAAACTGCGGTGAGTAAACTTTGGCGACAGCATGGGGACATGCGGAAGGGCGTCCGTGCCTCCTCAAGTAGTCCACACGTCGCTGCCCCAATTTATCAGAACAGGATGATTAGTCTGTAAAGTGCAGGAAGGGGCATATACACACTCGCTTTCGACTTCTGTCTTCCTCATTCTCTATTTCTTTTTCTTCCTCTTTCTCTCTCCCTCTGGCTGCCTCTCCTTACCACGGTCGCGAATCTGTCCTTAAGGTTATCATTCTTCGCCACGCAGTTATCGGGTCCATAGGGCGGCTTGATCCTGACTTCTCCGTTAAGGACCAAAATGTCTTTGTTGCTCCAAGTGCAGTCTGGGTGACTAGCGGACGGGGGGGGGAAGGGGTTGTCCCATGTGTGCTTTTTATGAGTGAAGGGTTTCTATTTTTGTGAGGACCCATTGGAAGCAGCGTGTGCTTTTCATCCTTCACCCTTGCGCGATGGAGTGAAACACACGGGATAGAGGCCACACACGAGACAGAAGCCACACACGAGATAGAAGCCGCACACGAGATAGAAGCCACACAACGCAATAATGAGGGGTAGCCTGTAAAAGGCATTTTCCACCCGCTCAGTGGACATACGTTTTCCATATAAAATCGAAGAGCTCCTGTGCCTCCTGCGTTACGCCAATACCAATGCGTGCCTTGACGCCTTCAAAATTCTCTAAGGCCTTTTTTTCGATCTTCTCGATGAGAGACCTCTCAATTTGAGGAAGAGGGTCAGACACGAGTTTTATTCTTCTTCGTATCTCTATGTCTGCGATCATGTCCATCTTGATAATGTAAAAATTGGCAGTGCCATTCTTGTTATCCTCCTTAATTATTACAAAATTGAAGTTTGTGTCGTAACAGTAGAGCTCTCCTTCGAATGTCTTTCCATCCTTGGTCTTTGTTGCTACGACATGGCCGAAGTGCAGGCAGGGGTCAAAGATGCTTTTGTTCATGGTACCAACTCTGGTGACCTCTGAGAAGCGTTTGTTTGAAAATTCAGTCGAGAGGCCGCCTAGCAGGTGAGTTATTTATTTTTATTTTTGTTTCTATCCTTTTTTGTAGCTGTTGTCACGCGGCTTGGGGCGAAGTGGGAAAGGAAAGATTAAAAGGGGATGGAGGCAAAAGTGGAGAAAAGACCAACCGAAGCGCTCGTGAAGAAAAAAAAAAGAAAGAAGTGCACACTCACGTGTGAACGTCCAGCGGACAAACGGCTACTCAACAAAAATACCGTTGCCAAAGCGGGACCATAGCAAAGTTTGGTAGGGCTGAGTAACTTCCCCGGTTGGTGACAAGCAAGGGTTTCTCCTTCCACTCGTCAGCGTTGCACATAATGCGTATCCCCCGCTTGAGGCCCTCTTCCCCTTCTGGACCAACCTTTGTACATGCAATTTGTGTGGACCTGTGTTTGGGCGACCCCCTTCAAGGTTCTTCCTTCGCATAGGAAGGGGAACCTATTTTTTTCTCTTTTTTGTTTCGTTGTTTCGTTGTTTTTTTGTTTTTCTGTTTTTTTCTTTTTTTTCCGTCGGAGGGGACTATTAAAATGCAAAATTAACCCTGCGCAAAGTGAACCGAGTGCCGTTTTGGTGTCCTTCCCTCGTCAATCAATTGACCAAGCACAAGTGGGAAATATCTGTGGAACGCACGAATATGGGATTGCAGTCCTCTCCATCGGAACGTCTCTCTTTGTGTTGTAGCACGTTCCTAGTTACGATTATGCCTCCGAGAGGGTAGATTTTTTTTTTTTTTTTTCCCAGATAGCCAAAAAGTGTATACCTCGCGATGCTGACGCGTCGCTGTTCGCACCAAAAGGGAGCGCTCTTACCGTTAAGAAAAAAGTTGTGCGGAGTAAATTTTCTCTGTATGTTTAAAAGGCATAATTTTGCTGTTCCCACTTTGGGAAGAGGTACCGCCTATTCGGAGATGCACAAAAAGTGGGCGGACACCTGGAACGACGTGTGGGACGTAGGAACGAACAGCTGCCGTTGGAGGAACTTCACCCGATGTGTATTTTAGCCTGGGCACCCCTAAACGTTAGGTGCACATTAAAAAATTTGGTGAGCCACCCGTTTCGCATACGTTTCGAACGAAAGGTGCATCAACAGAAAGAGAAAAAAAGAGGCCCAAATGTTCCCGTGCAGACGGTACTTCCAATCGTGGAACGCAGGAATATCTACCTGCGCATGTAACAGTGTTGAGCTTACCTACGCTGTGAAAACATAGGGGTGATGAGCATACGGAGTACCAGCGGAACGCAGTCGAAAGGAGGGGGGCCACCATTTCTTTTCCCATCCCCTGCTCGATGCATATGCTACAGTCAGTTTGGAAGAAGTGCCTTTTTTTTCTTTTCTCACTCAACGGGTATCCAGTTGTGTTCCCCGGCAAAGGGTAGAAAATTCGAAAAAGGGGAAATCCTCCAACGGAATTAATTTTGCAGAAAAGAAGAAAAAAATCGTCATACATACGTACACATAAATTCGCACTTTTAACATCGCAGGCGAAGTACAACCCTGGACGAAGGGGCCTAAAAAAACGCGCTGCAGTTTCACCCCTCTTTGCACATTTTGGCTCTCCCCCCTCACAAAAAAAAATATATCGTTCAGTTTGTGCTTACTCAAAATGTACATTCAGGTTTTTCCTCGATGAACATTTTAGCCACGAGGAAGGGAACAATTTGGGAACAGCGTCACATAAAATGTGAGCTACATGTTATTGGTCAAAGTTGGGAGAAAAAAAGAAAGAAAAAGAAACAGATGAAACGTAAAAGATGAAACATGAAAAATAGTAAAAACGATAAAAACATCATATCTGTGACTATTTGCGTACGTGGAAGGTGCGCAAAGAAAGCTAGCTGTGGGGTAGGCAGTGTCTAAGGTGCGAATTGTGATGGATATGGTCACATAAGCATTTTCATGTGTATATATTGTCATGCACGTGTTTGGAGCCCTTAAAAAGTTCGTCATCAGAAACAAGTGAAATTTTAGGAGCTCTTTTTTTTTTCATGTCGGTGTTTGTCCCATTTACACTTTGAGGAAAAACTCTATCTCCACGTTTTCGGCGTGGTTCACGTGGGAGGAGAAAAAAAGGAGAGCTACAAAAAAGGCGTGCACAAAATGGGGTACACAAAATGGGGTACACAAAAAAGGGGTGCACATGAAGAGGTCCCGGAAGGGCCTTCTACAAAATTTGCAGTGAGATTTAAAATGAGAAGCATGCACAGTGGCGAAAAAAATTAAAATCAAAATTAAAGCTGGCGCTGAAATGGCACTCATGCTGAAATATAATTTTGCAGCTAAATTTGCAGCCTATTTTACAGGCAAATACAAATCAAAGGAACAGTCACCTTACGACAAACAAAACAAACGAACGTTGCCTAAATAATAACAGCGGCGATCAGCACATATAGGGAAAAACAATGTTCAAAGCAGTGAAAGGGAACACCCTTTGTGCCATGTATCCCGAACTAACTACACATAAGGAAATCCCACCTTCCTTTTAAATCAACCATGATTATCAAACGTGTGTTTAGCTAAACGTGGAGTGTTTTAATTGTAGATCCCTTTCTTCTTAACTTTGTTAAGCATACGTGAGATATACTTACATGATATTCTTTTTTTCATCGAATGGTGTGAAAGTGTCATGGCTTCGAGGGAGGTCCCTGACCTTCGTAAAAGCAACTTCTGAGCAAGTGATGCGCGAAGGAACAGTCGTTCTGGTGCATAGAAAAGGGTGTATCGCCTTAACGGTGGATCATCTTATCGATGGATCGTCTCAACGGGGAATCGCCTTCATTGTGTAACCTCCTCCCGTGGGTCTTCCTCCACTCTCGTTTTGTTACCACTCCTGGGTAGAGAATTTGCATTTTTTACCGAGGCGCGCCATTCGTGACGCACATTGCAGCGTGTCCGCCACTGTGATGTGAAGACGTCTACAAGGGGAAGACCGCCAACATGCCCATACATGTATGCATCCCCGTTTTCACCAAAGAAGCCACACCTTCTTAAACACACCAGTTTGACATAGCTGGTGTTTCAAATTGTGCAAAATAAGCCCCCCTGAGCCGCGCACACCCAGTGTATATGACTAGGCATCATAAATGTGTGCATGTGCATATCATGTACCTACCATTTATACAGCATCTAAGTGAGCGAATGCGCGAGTGTATATATTTGCACGCACATTTCCAAGTGTGCCCAGATAGCCGCTTACCCTTTCTGGACAGTCTGTTCATGTGGTTTTAGAAAACCCTACAAACGGGAATTACTACCTGTGCATTTGCGATCAACGCCGTATCGGCAACCTCCTAGCCCTCAGTGTAAGTATGCATGTATTAATACACATGTACATATACATAACCGTATGTTTTTTTCTTTTTTTTCACTACACAAAAAAAAAAAATTGAAAAAAATCCCCCTCTTCAGTGATAGTCAAAGAAACGAAAAAAAAAAAGATGGAAAACACAGAGCTCTACTTTTAAAAAAAATTATTTTACATTGTGATGCCCAACATTGATACATGAAGCGGGAGATTTACTTTTTACGAACAGTTTTTCTTTTTTTTTCTTTTTCTTTTTTTTTTCCCCTTCTTACCCTTCTGAACAATACCTTTTGCATTGGGATTCCTGCTTAAACAGCTGCGCAACGGTTGCTTTGCTGCTAACTTCGCTTTTTCTGTTTAGAGCGAATTGCGGCTGCTTCATTGGGCATACATACGAGCGAATGTGTATGCATGCCTGCTAGGTATGTGCATGTATACCAGGTGACACACTTGGCGCACATTCAGTGGAACGTTATTAAGTGTAAGGAAACGTGAAGCACGTGTGGGAGATTCTTTTTTTTTCCCCCTTTTTTTACATGCTCTTTACGAATAATTTATGCTAATTTTCCCTCGTGTGCCACCAGCCCTTGAATGCGCCGCTTCTCCAAAATTTTTGCGTAACGTCCATGTAGCAGAAAAGTAGCACCTTGTTTTACACCTTTTTGCATACGTTACAGGCGTACATGCGGATGAGCACAGGATAGGTACGTATACAATATGCTTACCTTCATGCGTACATACACAAATCGACAAGTCAGCCATACTTGGAAATTGTGAAATGTGAAACCTTTTTCCTGATAAAAAAAAAATTATGTACAGGTCATAATTTTTTTCCATTGTCCTCACCGTGTTCATAATTTTTTTCTTCATTTTTTTTTTTTAGCGTTTTTCAAGCTATTTTTTTCTTTTTTTTAATGTTTAATTTTTTTTTTTTTTTCATTCTTCCTTGTTCATACGTTTTTTCGTTCAAACGCTTTTTCGGCGTGCCCTCTTTCGTCGTGCGCCTCTTCGTTGTACGCTTCCCCCTTTTTCTTTTTTTCGTGCCTGCATCCGTTCCTCTGCTTTTTTTTCGTTGTTCGTTTTTTTCGTCACGTTGGATCCCTGCTGAGTTTTCCCCGTTCCCCAATTTTCCCATATGGGCAGCCAGCTCCTCCTTTTTGCCTTTTCTTTTGTTACACACTTGTTCTCCATCCTTTGTTCCATTTTTGTTCCTCCTTTGTTCCATTTGTGGTCCCCCTTGTTCCTTTGTTCTTCTACCTCTGTTACATTTTTTTTTCTTTTTTTTTTTTTTGTTTCACGTATGCGACTTATTGCGCGACCTTTTTTTTTTTCCTTATGCTACCTTTCACGCGCCCGTCAGCTTACGAATGTCGCAGAGTCTTCCCCTACTGCTAGCAAATTTTACGCGCTCAAGCTGAATTCGAGGAAAGGTGTAACGCCACATCACAAGCTGAAGGAACAAAACAAATGTGAAAATGTTTATTTGATTACTTCACCTTACCCAGGGGGTTATTTTTGAATGTGATTGATATTTAAGGGTAATAAAGGAGGAGAAAAAAAAAGAAAGAAAAAAAAAAATGTGTATTTTGTTTCTCATTTTTTTTGTTTTCTTTTTCATTTTTTCTCCTTCCCGCATGTGAGTATACCAAATGCTTACATAACTACGTTACATATTTCAATTTTTTTCTATTTTTTTTTTTGTGTATTTTTTCCCTTTTTGTGCCTCCAAAAATATTTAAGCTCTTATGTATATGCACACCTAATTGTGGTAAGAAAAAAAAAAAAAATCCGTACAGCAATGCTTATTTTTTTTTTTTCCGAAATGTTCGGTAGAAATATGCCTTAACGTTTAAATGTATGTGAAGGGTGTGAATGTGTCCCTTTTTTCGAGACCGTCACCACTGCGCTTTTGCGGGGTCGTGGCCGTGTCGAGTTTTCACTCGTGTAACATTTGTTCATATGGTTATTCTGCTTTCCCCCCCGTTTTTTACTGTATCTCTTTGTACCCTCCACCCCCATGGAGGGTGACATCCATGAGAAAACCCAGCTTCGTCCACGCGTGTCCATTTTTAAGGCCGCCTTTTCTTGGACATCACCTCTGCATCGCCCAGCATATTTGTGCATTCCAGTCTGGGTATATACTCGCATGTTCATCCACCCATTTGACGCATTCACACGTTTGTTCATTTAAGAATACGTCACGCACGTACATTGCCCACATCAGTAACGAGCATTTAGGAGAAAACAGAAATAATCGTGGAAGTGCCTGCACGCGGATACCCATTCGACCTGCGTTACAAGACGTTTGCCACGTTCTCGTCACGCGCAGAGATGAGCATGTGTAAGTGAGCACGTGTAAGCGAGCACCTGTAAGCGAGCACCTGTAAGCGAGCACGTGTAAGAGAACACTTGTGTAGGTCGTGCCTGTAAACGAATTCCCATACGTACACATAGAACGGTACAGGCTTCCTCGCCGTCCGTCAATTTTCCCTCAATATAATAGTAGAAACACCCCTGGAAGCCAACAACTTGTAAGCAGAAACCAAATTGTCGCCGCTCAAGTGTTACCCCCATGTGCATGCATGCACACACAACGTACGAGTACGTACAGATAAGTATGAACGTGTGCCCACAACGTATCCCTCATCAGTCGAAACTTATTTTCTCCCCCCCGTCCCCTTGCTAATATTTGTTAACATTTCGTGCATCGTTTAACGGCCACTGTGTTGCAAAAAAAAAAAAAAAAGAGCGCAGTTGTGAGTATGTGTGCGAAGAAATATTCGCGAATGTGCCATCTGTACATACATGTGAGGCACATACGCATTTATATAGCCACACATACTACGCGCACACACAGGGGCGTGTACCATGGAGCACAGAGTGAAGCAAGCGCGGGGAAAAACCACTTGCCTAAGGACGCTCGATGTCGACGTAACCATGCGTGACCAAATGAAAACGAGCAACTTCTGCGTGAGCGTCACGCCGAACAGCAGCCCCAGTGGCATCCCCAACAACGGCTGCAACGTAAATGTGCCAACAGCCCCAAACGTAACAAATTATGAACGCGGTCAGAACATTTTCATGGGACAAAGCGCAAATGGCAACGATTATAATTTAGCGGCCAACCAAAATATGCTGAGTCAGCAAAATGTTCTGCCCGACCAGCACCCCCCCGAGAATGCAGGCAATGGTGGAGGCAATTATGACGCCAATTATGGAGAAAATTATGCAGCCAGTTATGCAGCCAATTATGATAGCAGCTACGATAGCAGAACGGACAGCCGCGCGAATGAAAATAAAACGAATTGGACGAGCGGGAACTCCCTGGGAAACACACACTACGCGAGTGGCATGCACATCGCACTGAGTAATGGCCACCCGTCGTATGTAACAGATGGGGACCAGATTTTATCTCAGGCGAAAGTTTTTATGGCCAGAAAAAATTTCGACAACGCGAGTGGCCCAAGGAGTTTGCAGTCAAGTGGGCACCAAGTTGCGCAGCACAGATTGCAGCCGCGTTTGCAGTCAAATGTGCCGCCAATTCCGCCGCCAACTGTTCAGTCAACCTCCCGCGCGAGCAACAAATTGCACAGCGTTAACTCTGAGCAGAAGAATGCAAATATGTGCAACTACACTTCGCAGCAGAACGCTGCCCTGAACCAGGAGCACCAAATGTTGAGTGCACAGAACGGTTACTGCCCTAGTAGTAACAGTATGGCGAAGGGGAATAGTCCTGCTATGCTGGGGGTGCCTTACCACCCGCACGACAATCTTTTAACCCCAAATGTGCCCCGAATTGGTGGAGGAAATATCTGCGCGACGAACAGCGCCGCTCAAGGACACCCAAACGGCATGGCAAAAGGTACACAACGAAATCAGGGTGCCATGGTGAGTAGCCAAATGAATGCCTGGAAGGGAAACTACGACCTGGGGAAGGGCGACAGTGCGGTTGCACCGGGTAATGTTCTTCCCTATGCCAATATTATCAACGGCGAAGGTGGAAAAATGGGGGAAGAAAGCGCAAGAGCAACCGGAAGTAACTACCAAGGCGCAGTGGATGGCTACGATGGCAGTTATGTTAGCAAAAATTACGGCCATGGTGGTGGTAGCGGTGGCGGGCATGGTAGTGGTGGCGGGCATGGGAACGTTGGTGCAAGTTGCGTTGGCGGGGCTAACGACCCGGGAGGGAACAACCACAGCCCCGCTGTTGGCAACGGTGCATGCAGGAGCAGCCAATATAAGGGTAACATCATAACCCCGCAGAGTAACAGCAGCAGTGTGGGGCTAAACATGAGTGGAAAAAAATCTGATCACATTTTGCAGGGCATGAGAAAGGTAGTAAGTGTAAATGGCAAGGTGGAGACGATGATGGAGATGCAAATTGCACAGCATGGTGGTCCCCCCATATTGAATAATATCGAAGTGTTAAGCGACTACAACAAGGGCCAGGGGAATTTTCGTGTAAGCGAGACCAACGCAGTACCTTTTTCTGGTGTGAATAAGAACGGTGTTAAGTTTGTCGACCCGCGGAAAGGTGTTGACAGTTATGTGACGATGAGCGGCACCCCCTTGGGTGTGCCAATGGGTATTGGTACTGCCGGTGGTAGTGGTACTAGCAGTGTGCCAAATTTTAGAAGCGCTGCGGATCATGGCAAACAAGTGATTGAGGTTAGCAGCACACACGGCTCTAAACTTGACGCCCCAGCTCACCAGTCGAATTTGTTAAGCAGTCACACGGGAGGCACTCTCCCAGGAAGTAGTAACGTCGATAACAGCTTCGGCGCAGGCGGCCCCAACGTTATCAACCAAACGGGTACTTCCTGGACGATGCAAAACAGCAGTGTCGGCATCGCTAGCGGGAGCGGCCTCTATGGTGTCGGAAGCAACCACGCCAGCAATTTCCCTAGTGGCCTAAATGGTGCCGCACAGGTCCCCAAAAGGATAGGAAATTTCATTACCAGGAGAAATGCCAACGATCCGATTAGCAGAAGCAAAGGTGGTGGTCACAGCGGAGATAATCATGCGAATGGGAATGTTCTCAGCATTTACCACACCCACGTCCAGAGCAACAATTTTGCGAGGGACAATCCTGAATTTGTAATGAATGCAAAGAATGACAATAAGAGCAGTGAGGGTGGTGACGCCTTTTTTAATGGGACGACTGGCCACTTAGGTGGCGTGGTGCGAGCGGGGCACGCCGACAGTTACGCAAGTGTGCAGGGTAGCAGTCGGGTTAGAGGCCACGTCAGCGGTCAGGTTAGCGATCAGGTTAGAGGCCATGTAAGAGGTCAGGTTAGCGGTCAGGTTAGCGGCCACGTCAGCGGCCACGTCAGCGGCCACGGCACCTCCATTCCAAATGACATGTCCAACGTGTTCGCCAAAAAGGCAAACCAGCAGTTTAACGTTCTAAAAAATATGAACCTAATTCAGTCAAGCAGCTACCCAGCGAACGCAGCGAAGAAGCACGACATGCAGGTGAATAATATAAGTGGCTACCACGAGTCACATTCCATGCAAGAGGCGAATAGCGGCATGACAGGTGTGCTCCCCAGTTCGGTTAGCGGTGCGATGGTTAGCGGTGGCCTCGTTAGCGGTGCGATGGGGAGCGATGCCCTTTCGAATAACGGCCAAGCGACCCACTTTACCCCCTACGGCAAGATCAACAACAACAGCGCCGACGCGGCGAAAGGATCCTACCCGGAAAACGGTTCCCTAAATGGAAACAAATTTCTAAGCAACAGTAATAAGTACCTTAACGGTAGTAGCCCCGTCGGCAACGGCCCTACGCATAGTGGCATTTTAAATGCACCGAAGATGAACCCAACTGGGGGCAGCATCATTGCCCCCCAAGGATTCTCCATGAACACCTCCGGCCAGGCCATTTCGTCCCCAACGCAAAGCACAAATGGGAATTACAATGCGAAGAAGGTATTTTACGGTTCTAAGGCGAACACGTCGAATTTTTACTCACCCAAAGTAGGGGAATATCCCATGAGTAATAACGGGGCAGTGAAAGGCACAGCTGGTATGTACGGAGGTACTAATAGGAACAACAATGGTATGCACAGCGGAATGGGCAGTTCCATTCCGATGAGTGGACCTAACGGGCAGGTAAACAGCCTAACTAGCGTCCTCACCAACACAGCAAACCAAATTGATCATCTCACGAATAATGTGAGCAATACCCTCTCAAACAGCATGACAAATAACATCGCCAACAATATGCAGATTGTACACAATAATCATATCACACAGAAAATAAACAATAATATATCGATCAATTTATCCGGCGGAATAAATGACATGAAGAATTTGAACTTAGCCAATATTAATCATTTTAAGAAGAATGTTTTTGGGCCAGTTAGCGTGGGGGGGACTCCTCCGATGGGAAGCAGCGGCGGAGGAAGCGGGAGTGCCCAGATAAACGGAAACTACGATCTGCTAAAAATGATGACCAATGGAAACCACCTCAACCCAGCAGATGCAAGAAAAGGCTTGCCAATGCAGAGAAGAGTAGTACCAGACTCCGGCGCAGCGAACGCGTACGGAAAAACGGACAAGTTTAATGGCTCAGGAGTGGGAAGCCTAGAGGGCACAAGCCCCATTGCCCAATTCGGCATGATGGGAAAGGGGGCCAACGGCGCTGCAGCTATGAGCAGTGTGAGCAGTGTGAGCAGTGTGAGCAGCGTGAGCAGTATGAACGGTATGACCACTCCTCTGTACAGCCCTTTCCAGGCTGCGCAAAATGAAACTATCGTACGGAGGAACCCCATAAAAATGAAAAACGCAACTGCGAATGTAATGAGTCCGGGTGGGAGCCTAAACGACCCAGTGCATAATATGTATTCCGTAAACAGTGCAAGTGGTAGTGTCAGCTCGAAGCACCTAACGATGAACGAGTCGACACTGAATAATAAGTTAATGGCGCTGAACAGGGATGGAGGGCTACCCGCAGGCAACGGCCAGAGTTGCTACCCCGCAGAGATGAATGGAAATGAGCTAAATATAGACTACATAATGGGTAAAGAAAATATGGATTCACATTTGGGTAAAAAAAGTCAACTGTTAGGCGAGCCCATCGTGGGTAGTAGTAGTAGTAGGGGATGTCCACCCCAATTGGATAAAAATGAATTTCCCCTCATGAGGACGAAAAAAATTTTCACTGACATGCATAATGGCAATGGTATAATGGCTACCTCGAAAAAAAGGCTTACTACACAGTCAAACAAGGTTATGCAATCTGGAAACATCATTAGCAGCAGTGGTGATAGTGAAGCTATGAAGACTATGCACAGGGGAAACAACTTGAGAGGCATTCACAGCATGAATCGGGTGAACACGTCTGAAGTAAATGGTGGGATAGGTTTGATGGGCCCCTCCCGTGGCGGTAGCACCACTGGGTTGAACAATCCGAACCATGTAGCGATGGGGAGAGCATCGAGTGCGACCAATTTGTCTAGCGCAGCCAATTTTTCCAATGGAGCGTTCCCCGCGGAGAAGGAAAACCTGCGGACACAAGACATGAGCATACTGTACAGCAGGGATACCTCGAACTATGGGCAGCACGGGTTCAGCCAGTCCATGGATGTTGTCCCACACACACAGAGCAACGATCAGAAGAATTCAATTAACGTAAAAAATATTATTAACATTAATAGCAATTTTAATATGCTAATGAATAGTATGAACATGGATGGGGTGGGCGGACTAATCGGCATGGAGAGGAGCAGCAAGGAGGGAGGAAGTAACAATCTGAAGGGTGCCTATTATGGCAGCAAGAGTCGTTGCCCTGTTGGTAGTACTGGTGCGAGTAATCCGCTGTACAAGGACGGTATTAATGTGGCCTATAAGCTGGGGAATAACTTCTCCAGCAAGGGAAGCAACACAGCCGCGGTTAGCACTGCTCATGTTAAGACTGCTCCTATTAACACTGCCGCTGTTGGGTCCTCCTCCGATGGGTACAGCAAGATGGGGAAGGAGACCAACGGGAAGAGTAACACAGTCGGGATGATGCAGGGACAGCTGCAGTTAAGTAATAATGCGCCAACAAATGCCTTGGCGGTGAATTACTCCATGCAGAATATACTGAGCAGAAGTAAAAATGGAAATTTTAATGTCTCTAGGAATGGCTCAGGTATTACCTCCCCTACGAAAGCTTCCAGTGGAATCAAATTAGACACCCCAAATAGTGTTCTGTACAGCATAGCTATGAATTCGCGTCTTCAGGATGCTGCGAGTGGGAAATCCAAATCGAACTCGTCCGCAAAGGTCAGTGGCATTCTCTTTCAGGATGACCTCATGTCGATGGGTGCAGCAAATGCGACTCGGAATGGGGTTGGCACGCCTCTCAATGGAGTGGGAAGTTTCGGTGCGAATAGGAAAAACGCTCTCGAGTATACAGTGCAAAGCATCAATAAGGAGCAAATCGCTATGGCTAGCGCTACTGCGAATGGCTCTCATGCGAATGGGCTTAATGGGAACGGGCTTAATGGGAATGTCCTTAATGACCGGGACCACCACCACTACCCCCAGCTAGCCAATATGCCCATGCGACAGAATATTCCAGAAGTGAAATCTATATTTGGAAAAGGTTCCCATAAGAGAAAAAAATCCGATGGGGTAGGAAAATCAAATGAACAGGTCAATGGTGCAGACTTGTTGGCTAGTCCCAAGAGGGCAAGAAAAAAGAAGAGTGATCATGTCAGTCATTCCTCCGGATTATCCAATAATGAGACAGTATTGAAATCATCCGAGATGGAAATGAGTATCAGGAATGATTCTCACTGGAATTCGAACCTACGTAATGGTAATTACAATAAGGCTGAATGTGCCAACAGGATGCAGTACATGTCGAGCGGACAATCGTGCATTGAAATTGCTGACGAGGAAGACACGTTGTCGCTTGGGAATGACGCAGAGGGAAAAGACACCTTCTACGTGGAAGGAACTACTGAGTGTAGAATTGCGAGTGAGGTCTATACTGCACCGGGCGGTAGCGATGGTAGGAAGTACGACCTGGAGAGTGCCCATCAGCACCGCGTAGCTGACGTGGCAGGAGGGGAAGAGAAGAGCATCAGATTGACGGGTACGATAAAGGGTCTAACTAGCATCAATCATATAAGTCAAGATATCGAAAATGTGCATTCAGCTTTTCCGCACACAGGTGAAGGAAGTACTAATGAGGTAGGAAAAGCAGCCATGGGAGCAGCCATTGAAGAAGGCACTGCAGCGGGGTGCAGTTCTCTTTCTTCTCCTCACCCCGGTGGGGGATCTCCACGGGGAACCCATTTCAGCAAGCCAGGTTCTCACCTTTCCCTACGCAGCTGGGAGGAGGAAGCGGTTAATAACAACTATGTAAGCGATGTTTCGTATCCAAGCTGTGCAATCAATAGGAGTAATAAACAGACGAAGGACGACGCTTCTTTGGAGGAGAGTCCCAATCTGGTGGACTGCCCCAGCGTAAATGATGCAAAGGATGAGGAGAAGAATGTTATCGAAATGAGCATTAACATGTCGCTCAAAAATATAGAGGAGTCCATTACCAAGTACAATGAATCGAGAAAAAATATGGACACGCAAAATGGGGAAAACGGCGCCATGGCAGATGCAGATGATGATGCCACTTTGGCTAGCCACCGTGCCGACTGGATTAATGACAAAAGGGATGGACACACAAGCGGCAAGGACTGTGGTGAGTATATTATTTATTCCACGATAGAAGAAATGTTTAACGATCCTGGTGTAGACAATTCGAATGAAGGACATGAGGGCAGGAATGGGGATAACCGTTTGGGCAAGGCGGGCAGCAGGGAAGAGAGCAGCAGGGAAGAGAGCAGCTTCGACGATGCGGAGCTATGCGATAAAGGTATTGGCCAACCGCTCATGGAAGTGGTCATCCAATTGCCCAGGAACCCCAACGGGGAAGTTCATGCGGCGAACCAACCCCACGGGACGGAACAAGAAGGGGCAACGCGCAGATGTTCCCACGAGGGGAACATCATCGCCTACGATAGGATACTGCTGGACGATGTTTCTAAGGTGAACTATGAGGCGCTGTATATGTGTAGCGGCGGGGATGATCTGAGTGATGGGAAAGAACCGGTGAAGGGGGAAGAAGCATATCCCACACAGAAGAGTCATGCCCATAGCAACATCTCCTTTACGAATGATCCGAGGAGGGATAATCAGACTGTCATTCTGTCCGTGCACAATTTGGAAGACGGCGAAAGATTTCACGTAACAAATAGAGCTTATAACATTTTTCAAGAACAAAAGGGGGGTAAAAAGGCGAAAGAATTTGAGGAAGGTGGTACCACTACAAGCGTATTGGATGATGAGAATGAGGATGGCGAAGAAAAGCTCGAGAAGGAGACGACTGTGCATTATGCGCCTGGAAGGAACAGACAAAATGGAGACCGCGCGTTTGATGAGGTTAATTATTGTGTCAGCGAAGATGATGACAGTGATTACACCCTCAATGGAGGGGATGGCGGAAGTGAAGACGGTACCAATAAGGATGTCCGCAGTGAGGAAAAAATTGCAAACGAGCGAGCAGACGGAAAAGAAGTGACTCCTCCAACAGAAATCCTGAATGAAAGAAAAAGAAATGTCCTGCGAGTACATAATTTTAGGGAAGAGCATCCTAATAAGACGCAAAAGTTGACATCGCTTTTGAGCCAGAAGATGATGGATGAACTGGAGGTGATTTACCAGAATATAAAAAAAGTGAAGTGTGATGATGGAGAGAAAATAAATTTCAGTCTTTGTCGAAAGGTTAATCGGGAAGAATTCAGGGCAGTATGGAGTTACTTAGCCGGCATCATGGACGAGAGTTACAGGAAGGAGACCAAATTAAAAGTTGTCAAACTTGTCAGATCAAATATGCTGCAGCAGGTTTTTTATGAGAAGGGTAAGTTGCACGGAAGGGCTCTCAGCGTAATGGTTTTTTTATTCCCATTTTATCCATTCTTTGGATTGTTTCCATTTTTTGGATTGTTCCCATTCTTTGTATGCCTTCCCCTTTTTCCATTTTCCCCCATATTTTTCTCTTTTTTCTCCTTCTTCCCGCGTAGGAGAGAATCCGAAAATGCTCACGCTCGATTTTCATGTGAACGCCCCCGAGGAAATGTCCGATGTCCAGGCAGGGTAAGCTCCGCGCGTCCTTTTTTCTCTCCCCCTGCATTTTAGCGCCGTCGTAGTGCACCCCCGTGTGTGGTGCACCTATGCTGTGTTGCACCTATGCTGTGGTGCAGTTGCGTTCCCCCCATTCGCCATCTCTAGACGCGTGGTTTGTCCAGCCCCCTTCTGACCTGCCGACCCCCCTTTCCACCCCATCGCAGCATTGTACGGTTAGAAACTTCCTTCATAACAAGTGAGGCCATGAAGAGGGAACTCGGCACTCTCATCAGTGGCAATTTCGACATCACATTGGATTCCTTATCTGTCTGCACTTCACCTGTTTTTAATATGTATAGGAGTAGCAGCAATTTTAGGTAAGGGGGGGATAAAAGTAAAAATAAAATTGTGTGCCACGTGGAGAGGATATGATATGGGGCCTTATCATCCCCTGCCACTCGACCAATAGCGCAGCAGCGTTCCGTGCGCCGATTTTGCTACAGCTCAGGCGCAACCCCATTTGTCTGTTCATTTAACTGACAACCGGTTTAACCGTTTTCTCATTAACCATTTAACCCCCCTTTTCTCTTTCTCCCCCCCTCCCCCCCTGCAAAGCATGCTGTCTACGTTTCACGGCGAAATTATCCAGTTGTACGTTTCCTCGGCGAACGCCTGCAAGGGGATCATCGAACTGCGCGAGGATGCAAGTGTAAGAAAGGAGCGAAAAAAGAGCAAAAAAGAGCGAAAAAAAAGGAAAAATCTATGAAGGGACGTCCTACACATGTGTGTGTGTATGCGCTTCCTATTCTCACGTCAGCACCATCCCCCTTATGTGTCTCCACCTTTTTCTGGCACCCATCGGGTATCCCCTTTCGCAGGCCTTCGAGAACACAGAGAAGAAGTTCCTGATAAGAATCCACGCCAACTGCCCAGATCTTCACGAATTTTTTAATAGCTTTTATGAGCTCATTTTTTAAGCGATATGATCCCAGCCGCTTACCCGGTTGGTCATTTTTTGAGGTGTTTTTAAATTCAGTTGGCAGGGTGTGTGGTGCGGGGGGGGTTGTGGTAATTGGGGTGGCCCCTTGTACCACGTCAGCCTGGTTTACCCCGTTTTTACCCTATTTTTACCACCTTTTTTATACCACCTTTTAACCTTTTTTTGTTCCGCTTTCATTTCACAACCCGAAAGTGGCTCTTTCCCACCATCCCAACAGCGGTGCCCACATTTAAATGCATAAATTAATGTCCCAATGGGGCAGCCCCCCCAAAAAGAAAGTGACCCCCTTTTTAGAGGGTAAGTGTGTATAGCTGACTTGGGAAGGTAAAGAGGGGGGAAGAATCACCTTCCAAAATTATGCCAAGGGGTAAAAAGGGAAGTTTTTCCCATTCTGCAAGTTGCACTTTTCTGGGAAAAAATGAAAAAGAGAGGAGGGGTGGTGGCTCCTCCATCAATATGTAGGTGTGCCCTCTGCCCGAGTATTTACTGTATGCATTTGTATGCATTACGCGTACAACACGTGCTGGATATACGTATACGCCTAACATGTTGACAGAATAAAATTGCAAAATAAAAAAAAAAAAAAAAGAATAACTCAGCACATAAGTGTTCCCATTTTGACTCTATGGGGTTGCTTTAAACGTCGCCTTCCGTGACAGATAAAACTGCTAACTGGTAAAGAAAAAATTTATGCCAAAAAGTAGACCTCTTAAGGGGGGAAATAAAAATAGGGAATGGGAATGGGAAGGCAAAAGGCCGGAGAGGGGAACCGTGTTATAAGTTGTTTACCGACTAATGATGCAAATTTTAATTTTTTTCCCGCTTTCTTTATCATTTCGCGTAAAACGCGCAGTGAACGGAGTTACTCTCATCTTATTAGAGGGTTTCACTTTTTAAAGAGGCATACTTTTATGCCAACTGATATAGCAAAAGAAAAATTACATGGCTGAGCTGTATTCTTTTCTCATTTTTACGCCGCGGCGATCTTTCACACCCACAGAAGGATTTACCTCTGCCTCTCCCCGGGATGATCCTCCCCACGAAAAGGGGGCGTTTTCACGGCTTGGGAAACAAAAGCGACAAAAAAATGTGGCTAGTCATCGAGACCGACGACGCAAAAAAGAAATACGCATAAACGGGTGTTGCATAGGTGATACGTACCTGTACGTTTTCTACTCGTATAGAATACGCGCACCACATTTCGGAGTTGAGGCTGACGGCGAAGCAAACGCGGCACACTCTGTTAGAGGCGTAGGGGCTGCCTTTTTCTCGGGGGTAAATTTAAAGCATGTTCGTTTCGTTTCCTTTTTTTTTGTTTTTCGCGGGGGGGGGAATCTCTTTATAATGCTATGTTAATATGGCATGGTGTTTTTTTCCCACTCGTTATTGAGTTTCATTTTACCATTTTTTTTTCTCGCACGTATAGGATTACCTTTTTTTTTTTTTTTTTTTT